TGTGTGCCCGTGGCCGTGTCTGTGTGTGTGTGGCCGTGTCTGTGTTTGTTTGCGCGGGTTCCGGAGGCGCTGCTCTGCTTGTTGCCCAGCCCCCGTGCTCAGGAAGGGCTGGGGTACGCGGGTGCTCCGCTCGGGAACGTCTTGGGAAAGGGCTGAGCTCGGCCCGGCTGGAGCAGGAGCCCTGGAAGTGACCGCTTTTGGTGTTGGACTTTAAAGCTGTGCTTGGCCCAGGGATTGGCCGGTTTAAGATGTTATCTGTCCTGAGCTCCGTGCGCTGCTGTGCTGAGCTGGGGCTCTGGCTTTCTGTTCTGTCGTAGAGTAAACCACAGAATGGTTTGGGTTGGAAGGGACTTTAAAGGCCACCTAGTTCCACTCTCGTGCCATGGGCAGGGACACTTTCCACTAGACCACATTGCTCGGACTCCACCCAGCCTGGCCTTGAACACCTTTAGCGATGGGGCACCCACAGCACCTTCTCTGCACAACCTGTTCGGTGCCCCTGTGCTGGCTCCATGTCTGCTGTCTATATCCTCCCTGGTCCTCCGGAGCTTTTAGTAGATTTCTGCACACTAAACCTATGGTAATTGCAGCCCAAACAAATCTTAGGGAGCAAATGATGTCCTGGGGCATGTGGGAGAGCAGAAACTTTCCCTTGATGGAAATGCAGGAGCTGTGTGTTGGCATCTTTTTGGGAAAAGTTATTTTTTGGCTTTCCCAGCTCATACAAGCATTGTGTGCTCTATTTTTTAACAGCTTTGAGAGCAAATGGTGCTGGCATGGCCATTTGCACTTGTGAGCTCTTTCTGTGAGCACTGGTGTTTATTCTTTCCCTGCAGGTAACCAGCCAGGAGTGTGTGCTGGCCTCTGCATAGCTCTTGAGCCTGTGCTAGGATTTGTGTAGGTTGTTCCTTTGCTGTAGGAAAGGTGAGTAGGATTATTTCCATGTGTTGCTCTAAGGCTTTCCAGTTTAAATGCTTCCAGAAGTGGACTGATATTCAAACAACACTGTGACTTGCTAGTTCTTTCTAAATTTGTTTGAGAATTGTGCTTCTGCCTAATGTTTTATAGAAGTGAACTGGAATTTGTGACACTCAGATACACTTACACAAAGACCAAATAGTATCTCTTATACTAACTATTTTTTTATTGCTTTTGGCTAAAATGCCTACTAAACTTTGGCAAACAGGGGCATCACCCCTCTTGTAAGGTCTTAATTTGGTTTTGTAGTTTATGTAATCTGTTCCTGTGGATAATAGAATCAATTAATCTGAATAATGATGTATTTGTAGAGGTAGAGCTTTCTGTGGAGCTATATTATGTGTAGTAGCTCATGCTGTGAACACACTGCAAGTTTTTAATTGTATCTGTGGTATGCTGAGTAAGGATCTTTAGGTGGAAATGCTGTCAAATACTTGTTTTTGTTATAAACCTAGGATCTTACAGGGTGCAGCTTAGTGTTGGATCTGATGTGACACCTGAATCCTGACAATAGCTGATTTCTTTGCTTAAAGTGCAGCTGATTATTTGGAGTGGAAAAAGTGGACCATGCAGGGGGTTTTGTCTGAGCTGTTTCTTTCCCTACACAAATCTCAGCCTGCCTTTGCATGAAATGAGACTTTCTTTTGTATTTTTTAGCTGTCTGTTGGGTGTCAAACAATACCTCCTGATATTCTGAAAAAATTTCGGTCCTCAAAAGCTTTTTAATCCTGAGCTGTGCCATTAGGCAGAAATCAGCACTGGGGTGGTTTGCAGAGTGCCCTTGTGTGATGTAGACTCTGTCTTAATGTAAGATTAGAGGAGAGCTGAGCTGCTGTTACAGCAAGATCAGATTCCTGAGTCTGTTAATGAATTCAACTTTTCTAGACAGTTTTTTTTGAAAGCCTGTTAAAATGAATGCTGGTATTGTGCTGGGTGTTTCCCAAAACCCAGAATGCATGGGCCTACCCCATCCTGCTGACCTAATTCAGGGTCACAGAGGGCCTGAATTTGGTACTCTTGGAGTGTGACTGAAGCAGCTCCAACTGATTTGAGATGAGGGGAGCTCCTGCAGTGTGTTACAGAAATCCAGCCCAAGGCTGGGAGTGCAGAAATCAGAGTTCAGCCTCCCACTGCCCATGGTTTTGAGAACCCTTAATGTTCATCTGAGGTACAGCAGTCCCCCCAGTGCAGAGAGTTGTATTTTTATATTTTTTCCCTTGCTCTGTGCATTGCCCTCTAGCCTTGTCTCAGGTCAGAGGGATCAGGTGGGGGTTTCAGAGTTGCAGTCCTGTGTTAGATGGGCCTTTCAGGCATCCCAGTGTCTGCTGGCAGATCTTTGCCCACCTTGGCAGACCCTTGGGTGGGTGGTCAAAATGCATCTGCCATTGAAGGCTATCCAGAGGAGATGTTGCTTGAAAGAAAAAAGAGAAAGACGCTGTTTGACCTTATGAATGAGGACAGCAAACAGGCTTTTTGTGCCCACTCCAAAAGTAAAAACATTAATCCTGGTGCCTAAGAATCTGGCATTGTAATTCACAGACAGGAGAGGAGAAATAGGCTTGAAAGTCAGGAAGAGGGTGGGATAATCTGTGAGGTCACTCGGGGATTCAGTGAAATGAGGACTCACTGCTGTACATTGCATCCCAGAGTATCTGTGTTGTCACACGAGTGTAAGGAGGAATGATGGAGGAGGTGGCCTGGGGAAAAAGTCAAGCATAGACTGGCATAATTAGCAGGACAGGATGGGGATATGAGGAAATCCTGCAGAGTGTGACTATGTTGACACCTCCTTTGAGAAGAGCTGATAAGGTTTTGTGTGTTGCCAGTTGCTGTCCTGTGGTGCCACTGTGCAGTTCCTCTGGCTGAGGGCCACAGCTGCTCCCTGTGCCTGCATTCCCTTGGAGCAGAGAGGATCTGGAGAGCCCTGCTGGGCTCCAGCTAAATGGGGCACCTCAGAGTTCCCCAGTGTGACAGGGGTCCAAGGAAAAGGGAAGAGATGAGGATCTGACTCCATGTTTCAGAAGGCTGATTTATTATTGTATGATATGTTATATTAAAACTATGCTAAAAGAAAGGATTTCATCAGAAGGCTAGCTAAGAATAGAAAAAGAAAGAATGAATAGGAAAGGCTTGTGGCTCAAATAGTCTGAGACAGCTGGGCTGTGATTGGCCATTAATTAGAAACAACCACACGAGACCAATCACAGATGCACCTGTTGCATTCCACAGCAGCAGATAATCAATGTTTACATTTTGTTCCTGAGGCCTCCCAGCTTCTTAGGAGAAGAAATCCTAAGGAAAGGATTTTTCATAAAAGATATCTCTGACATCCCAGTGAGGGAGATCTGCTGCTCTGGGAGCCTGTGGTACTGAGTGAGGCTCTGTTTGAACATTTGAGGCAAACTGTAGGCTGGAACAGCTTGTACCAATCTGCTCCTGATCAATGGTTTTAGTGGGCTAGTTGCAACAAGCTGGGTGAAGGATGGCACTTTGCTTCCCACATGAAGTCTCCTGGTTTGGAATTCCTCCCACTCTCAGTTGTAAAATCACACTCAGCAGACACTTGTTTCCTTGCTTGTTTTGATTCTGATAGTGGTTTACTTTTCACAGCCTTATTGCTGCTTGTACTGCATTGTCTGTGGGATGTTTGATGTTTCTGTCTCGTGTCTCTGTCCAGATGTGTCGCTGTTAGATGCCAGACCAGCTGCCCTCTGTGCCAAGCTGCAATCAAAATGGCCAAGTACAGGCTCGTTCTCCTGAGACATGGGGAAGGAGCCTGGACCAAGGAGAATCGCTTCTGCAGCTGGGTGGACCAGAAGCTGAGCAGTGATGGCATAAAGGAAGCTCAGAACTGTGGCAAGCACCTCAAGGCCCTGGGCTTCGAGTTCGACCTGGTCTTCACCTCCGTGCTGAGCCGCTCCATCCAGACTGCCTGGCTGATCCTGCAGGAGATGGGCCAGGAGTGGGTGCCCATCCAGAGCTCCTGGAGGCTGAATGAGCGTCACTACGGGGCCCTGATCGGGCTCAACAGGGCAGAGATGGCTCTGAACCACGGCGAGGAGCAGGTGAAGATCTGGAGGAGGAGCTACGATGTCACCCCGCCCCCCATCTCTGAGTCTCACCCCTACTACGCCGAGATCTACAATGACCGCCGCTACAAGTGCAGTGATGTGTCTCAGGAGAGCCTCCCCAAGGCTGAGAGCCTCAAAGATGTGCTGGACAGACTCCTTCCCTACTGGAATGAAAAGATAGTGCCAGAACTGAAAAGTGGCAAAATGATTCTTATCTCTGCTCATGGCAACAGCAGCAGGGCGTTGCTGAAGCACGTGGAAGGTAAGGGCCTCTGTTTCAGCCTTCCCCTCTCCTCCTTGCTCAATGCCTTGGAGCTTTAGGTGTTGTTCTGTAGTGTCAGTATGCTACTGACCCAGAACTGGTCTTGAGAATGACTTATTTGGGACTTTATGATAAAAAAAACCATCCTTTTCATTGTTAGATTCTTCCCTCTCTTCCTCTTTCATCTCCTGGCTTCTTGGCCATCCTAAACTGGAAGTTGAACTGTATTAATTTCTTTGTGGATAGAGCAGGATTCAGTGATTATATATGTGTGAATGCAACCTACTGCAGTCCTGGAAGAGTTGTAGTTGTAGTTACAAATCTGCACAGACTGGATTGTGTCCACTCGTTTTTTTTTAGTTATAAAATCCTCTCTTCTGTGGCTCTGCCTGCTGGTTACTTTTTGCGTTTGGCCATGCTGGAACAGTCAGGACATCAGGAGTCTGAAGGCTGTGAAATGAGCAGGTACAAATGGCTTTTGAAACTAGAGAGGCTGTGAATCCTGGGGTGCAGATCATGGATGAAGGAGGAAGGGCTGGTTCAGTCAGTTCATGATGTGGTCACAGTGGTTGTCCACACTGTGTGAAATGATAAAGGAAGAAGGGGAAAGGGGATCTGGTGGTCCCCTGCCTCCCAAGAACTGAACCAGCTCCATGAAACCGTGCTGGCCAAGCCCTTTGGGGGTGGGGTGGTGAAAGCTGAGCATAGGTTCCAGCAGAGATCCTGGGAGAGCCAGGAGAGCTGACCCAAACTGACCAGAGGGATATTCCTTAGCCCTTATGGTGCCTGCCCAGCAGGAAGAGCTAAGAGAAAGGAGGAAGGGCATTTGTGATGGCGTTGAAGCAATGTGCACACTGAAGCCCTGATTAGTGGCAAGAGATTGGATTGCCTGCTGATGGGAAGTAGAGAATAAATCCTTTGTTTTCCTTTGCTTCTGTGCTTGGCCTCTACTAGTGCTTTAGTAAACTGCCTTTATCTTGACCCACAAGTTATTTTTGCATCTTTTCTCCCCACCCATAGAGCTGAGGATGGGAGTGATAGGGCAGCTTGGTGAGCAGCCACACCACAAACCCACCACAGTTCTTTTTTGGTGCCCCACTGTAGCCCCCTACCACTAAAGCCTGGCTGTGCAAACCTAATACAGAAAGTCTTGGCAGACATGAGTGGGACAAATGTAAATTATACACTTACAGCCATGGTTGTAGCCTACCCATCCTTCTTTCCTTAAAATTTGCACAGCAAGGCAAGAGTCTGTCAAGATCAAAAACCAGATTCTAACACTGTGCTTGCTTCCCTCCTCTGCTCTGTTGAGGTTAGATCTGTTTAGCCTGCAGGGAGGGCAGAAAGTGGCTCTGAATATTTTCCTTACCAGGCTAAAGCTTTAGTGCTTTCATTAAGCATATGGGATGCTATGACCTGGTTTAGAACCCAGTTACAAAGCACCAGTATTAAACAAGCTTTTGTGGCTGAATTGATGCATTTGATCTTGTGTATGATCTTTTATTGGATGAATCATCTGGACATGCTGAGAGGAGGGTGTTGTTATTCTCAACAGCTCTTGTGGGTTTTGGCTTCCTCTGACCATAAGAATAGGAGGTAGGAGCCTCGTAAGAACAGGTAAGGGGGAAGGAGAAGCTGAACCAGCCCCTCTGAAAGTGCTGTAGTGCTCAAAATCTGGAATTTGTCTCTGTAGCACTTTGCAAGGTCCAAATATTTCAAAGCGCTCCATGGGCTACCACATGAAGGTGAATTCTTAAACTTGCCTGGAGTTATTTCCAGTTTGTGTGTTCGGTTACCCAGTTTGGTTAAATGGAGAGTAAGTGAGCTGGGGAGGAATTCTGAATGTGATTTTGGAAGGTCTCTTTTATAAAAAGTGCTGTACCAAGTTACTGTAGTGTTCTTGTCCCTGACTTCACAGGTGGGGAGCAGTGTTCTCAGGCCAGAGCATGGGATATGTTCACTTGAGGAGTGCAGCTGCCTAATCAGCATTTTGTCTGGGCTCCTCAGGAAGCCATCCTGAGTATTTCAGTAGTATCTGTGTGTTCTCACAGCTATAAGTAGGTAGGACCTGGGTTTTAAACCTTCTTGGTTAAAAACTGCTTTGAGCAGCTCAGTATTTCAGCAGTGCTGAGAGGCAGGCTTTGGTGTTACACTGGAGGGAAGCATGTTACTGCTTCAGTGGTCTTATTTACCACTGCACCTTGGAGGCAGCAGTTGAGGTCTTGCCCTGATTTCACCCTTCTTCCCTGTGCCATGGGCTGGGTTGTGACTCAGGCCAGTTCAGATGGAGCTCAGGAAAAGGTCAGCTGGTTCTGGTTACAGCACACGGAGTAACTGGATAGCACTCAGCTCACACTGCAGCCATTGGTGTGATCCCTTTGGTGGCCTGCTGGCTGGGGACTGGTCTGGTGAGGTCTCCTGCAGCCAAAGAGCCTGTGTGACCAGCCTCTTGCTTCCTGGAGAAAAGAAATGCCACACACAGCAACAGGCACTGTTGTTTCTTTAGGATTTTCATCTGATTTCAGCTTGTGTTTCCAGGCTTCTGGCTGTGGGGCTGCACTTCTCTATGAGGAAAACTCCTGAGGAGAGAACCATCATGTTTGCTGCTGTGTGTTTATTCTAGGCTGCACTGTTTTGCTTTGTAAATCAATACTAGTTGACATTGTGGTCACTCTGTGTTCTGTAAAAACAGCAAAATGCAGTTCTGAATCCGTGTAGCTGCAGCTAGTTTTGTTTAATCCATCTCCAGAGGAAACTTTTAAATATCATGTCTCCTGACCACATTATGTGGTTTGCCTAAACTCTCCTGCATGACCTCATCTGCTGTGTGTGTATATGAATGGTTTAGTCTGGGAGGCTTAGGAGGTGGTCAGAACACTTCCTAGGCATGGATTCTCTGGGAATATACACGGGGATGTGGCTGTTGTTAAAATCTAATGCTTCAGAATCCTTGAAATAAGAGCTCAGGCTGCTTGTTTTGCAAACAAAGTCCTTGAGAACAGTGGCCTGGTAAATGGATGCATTATTTTCCCCATCCATTTCTGTGCCAGTTTTAAATTTTAGGTATTGAGGTTTTTTTCCCTGTAGGTCTGATTCTGTGGCCAACACCAGGTGAATTATTTGTCCCTTGTATGCAAGAATTGCTTGAGCTATCTGAGTGTGACTTGTTTCAGTGCACTGATGCTCAGTATGTAACAGGGTGTAAGTTCTTTGCCAAGGTTTGTTTCTGGTGCTCCATGCCCCTCCGGAACTTAGGGCTCACCCAAGAGCTGAGCATGAAGCAAGAATAGATCACTGCAGAAGCTGGGTGTTGGTACAGGGGTACATGATCCTCACCTCATGAACAATTCTGTTTTTTCTGGCCTGTTGTCACCCCACTGTTGCTGAGTTGCTTGACTCGTGTGTGTTTTCCTGTTAATGTGATGGCTCTGCTGTTCTACTTCATGTGCAAATCTCTGGTAAATTTACACCCCTGTGTTCTGGGGGCCATCTGTTTTGTCAGCTGCTGCAGGAGGATGTTTGCTTGCTGCACCTTGGTCTGGTCCATGTGGTGTCATCACTTCAGCAGCTCGTGGTGTGCATTTTCTGAGAGAATGACTCAAATCTGCCCTGCCTCACAACAGCAGGCTGCTGCTGGGACCTCAGTGCTTCCAGAAAGGGGGAAAGGAAACCTTGACATTCCCAATGACACCAGCTTGCTTTTGCCTGATTTTTTTAAGGATAATATCTTTGCAGTCAGTGCTTTTAATGCAATTGTTTAGATTTGTGTGGAAGCTTCACCAGGATGTTTGGTCTTGGAGGCTTTGGATGTGTGTTTGATATAAAAATAACCAGCAGTTTCATTGAGAAGAGAGCCCAGAATATTTTAATTACACGTCTGCATAACATAAATATTATTTTCCAGGTACACATTGCTTTAGTTAAGTGGAAAAAAAAAGAATGCTCCAAGTACAAGTTGACTTTCTGCCTCCTTTTTTCTTCCCCTCATTTGAGAGTGGAAATGAATATCTTATATGCAGGAATTCTGAGAACAGTACTGTGGACTTGCTTGTGAGAAATCAGATGTGGGCAAGGAGTGATTCTCACACAAGTAGAATTAAATACTGATTTTTGTGACAGTTTGTGTGATAAGAGTTGCCCAGAAAAATTAAGAGAAAAATTAACCTTGTTACCCTGCCTCTTTAATGGGCTGTGTAGCAGAGGTTGTTTCATGTTGGAGTAGCACATGTGGGCTCCCATCCTTTGTGATGTGTGAGCTGGGAAATGATGGAGGGGAACCCATTGTACTCCATGTCCTGTATGAAAGGAACAGTGTAGTCTCCTGGGCAATCTCTTCCTGTTTATTTCACACGTGTAGGCTCAAAAAGTGAAGAAACTTCTTCACCTGGATGGGAATTCTCCTCTTCAGCTGTTCCTAAAGGACTTGGCAAGCTGTGGCCTAGCTGGGAATTGACCCTTGAGTGGCTGGTGGTGTCCATGGAGGCTGGAAGGTGCCCTTGGCTGTTTTTAGACTGGGTAACCTCAGAAATAAGGCAGCAGGCAGTGAGGAGGCTGCAGGTGTAACTCTGTTTTGTTTTTCTTTGGCAGGCATCTCCGATGAGGACATCATCAACGTCACCCTCCCCACTGGTGTGCCCATACTGCTTGAACTTGATGAGAATTTGCACCCTCTGGGCCCTCACCAGTTTCTGGGTGATCAGGAAGCTATCCAAGCTGCCATCAAAAAAGTGGAAGATCAAGGGAAAGTGAAATCTGCTGAGAAGTTAAATCCCCCTGTCTAACACAGCTGTGTTCAGTGTGTGAGGATGTGTGAATGACTGCTAGGTTGCACTGTGTGAATGTCTCAAGCACTAAATAATTGGAAGGGACAATTGTTGAGTCTCAGGTTGGTAGTTTACCCCTCTGCCTTTTCAAAAACTGGAATTTAGATTGCAGTGTGAGAGGTTTTCAATACTGGAAAAGGAAGAGATGATTCAGGTAAAGGAAGCTGGCAGGGCAGCCTGTCCCAGATCCACACTGAGGATGGCCCAGAGGAATAAAGGGATATGATACTGGTGTCAACAACAATCAGTCCTGGTCTGATAAGGAGAAAAGCACCAGCTTACTGGACTAATTTAAGTCCAGGATGTTATAGGCACTGAAACTGTCACTGACAAAAATGTCACTGTTACTAACTAGGATTTTTCTGTGTCACAGTATCTGTGTCAGTTTGTTCTCAGTGGATTTCTACCTTCAGCTGGACAACTCTCTGCCTTTGTTATTTTGAGTCTTCTGTGGCCAGTTCACAGTCCAGAGACTTCTGTGGAGATGTTCTGACTACTAGAGTTATCATAGTTACCTTTTTTTACACTCTATTTGGTTTTTAAGGAATGCAGATAGAATCCCTTTTCCTCCACCATCTTTGCAAAGTCTAGCATCACTGCATTTTGCTGGCTTGCAGTAATAGGATTTGAGTCAGACTTCAGTCCACAAAAGAAGCACAAAGGTTTTCTTCTGCTCAATTTTTAAATTATGTAGCTCCTAGTGAGGGTCCTGAATACCTCTGAAACACTTTGGTAATGTGTGCTAGAGGTTTCATCACCCCTTAGTCATTTGATAAATAATTTCTGCTCACCTCAACCAAAGTGACATAGGAAAACCCTCTCTAAGCTTTCCTGGTATCTTGATAAATGTTTCACAGTAACACTGAAGTGGCATTATCTGTATCCAGTTCTCTGAAGGGCTGGGAGAGATGCATGCAGCATGTCACAAGTGTTGCAGCTTGTTCAGCCATCCTGCTGGTAAGGAAAGCTATTCTGCCATGCCTGAGAGAGTTCTGTAAAGCTCTGCTCACAATCACAGCTTGATTCCTGCTGTTTGGCACTGGATCTGACCAGTTCACCCTGAGGTTGGATGCAGTGTAGCAGCAGTGGCAGCCTGGTGTTCCCTTCATGTACACCAGCACCAGGGTAATTCCACTTGTGAAAAGTTGCTCCTAATCTTACCTGCAGGTATGAAACTGATAAAAAGTTTACATCTGACCCACTGTGCCAACTCCTGAGCACCTGGTTCTCACCTTGAATACCAACATGGGTGACACCTGTGTGTGTGCTGCTTGAGCTGGATATGTTCTCAGCATGGCCCAGCTACAGATCTCAATGTTGATGGGAATTTCCTTGATATGAATATAAAGTTTTAAAATCCTGGAGGAGCCGCTGCTTTGCAGTGAGCAGCTCTGTAGCTTGCTTTGTGAGTGTGAGAGGATGATTTTTTCCTTTTGAAGAGAGCAGTGTGACAGTGTGGTGTGCCTCTGACAGTCTTGCTGACGTGTGGAGCAAGACTTTGCAGGTCTGATGCCAGCTCACATTAGAGTAGCACATACTCCATAAAAGACTTCGTGCTAGAGGGTAGTTTCTCATGCATGAATGGTACTTGGGCTTCTCTTCAGTTTTGTTTTTGTGAAACAAAGTTACATGTTTCTCTTTTAAACATAAAGCTGGTAGGTTTCATCTTTCTTTGTACAAGAGACATATTTCAGTGTTTATTGGTTGTTTTGGTTTTTTTTTTCCCCTCTGAAATGCTATTAGCAGCTTCTCTGCTACTTGATTTATGATTTGATACTGACTTAGTTTCTGGGGTTTTAGTTTCTGTGCTTAGCATAACTCTAACTCTTAGTTGATAGTTCCCAAGTGAGTGTTACAGTGTTAGATTGCTGATCAGCAAAAGTTCACCTGTGAAAACCCTGGGAAAAGTCACTGGCACTCGAGTGAGTAAATTCTTCCCCAAACATTAAATAATGTGTGAAGCTTAATATTGAGTAAATGCTACTGTAGGCTTGTAAACAGAGCCACCTGTTGCCAGTGGGAACTGGGTGCACCCAGGTGTGTGAGCACACAGGCCATGTCCACATCCCTTTGGCACTGTGGAATTGTGATGCAGAGCTGCTTCAGGATGTGCCATGCAGCTGCAACATCCTGGGAAATGAGCCCAGCTGAGCTGAGAGACAGACTCTGTCCTCCCCTGAGAATCCATGGTCTCCTCTGTGGGTGGAGAGGGGAATGGAAAGGTGGGTGAGGGAATTTAGGGAGCATTGATTGCAGCTGAAATCACCCTTTGAGTCGTGGCCAGGGTGAGGAGAGCAGCAGTGTGGTGTTTGCAGGGGGTGCTGTTCTGCTCGTGACAGTGCTCTGGGAAGTTTGGCTTTGTTTGCTTGGACTGTGGCTCCACAGTGATGACAGGATCTTATGTGCACATCTGGCAGCAATAACACCTTGCAAAAGTATCAAATGGAACCGACTGGGGATTTCATTCTGCTCTTCAGGATTATTTTAATGCCTTGCAATTCCAAGTAACCTTTTATTTAAAATCCTGGTTCATAAGCCATGCCTAGTCAAGAACAGACAAGTTCCAAGGTGTCAGACACCAAGATCTTCAGGCATAGCTACATCAGAGGGAGAAATGAGAATCTTGCTGTAGAGATCAGTGGTTGGGAAGTATTTTTCCCCTCTGTTTGTGTGCCTCACAGTCCTATAAGGTAAATGGTGTTTTTAACATAATGGATGTGGTTGATTTGGTTTGTTTATGCATTTTTAACGTGTGGTTCAGTAGCAGTAATAGCTCTAGATCCTCTTGAAAACCTTTGTAAATATGGTGGAGCTGGCAGGTTCTTTTTAACTCAATAAATTCACCTCAAATAGAATTTAATTTGGCTTCAGTCTTTTTTTTCTTCTTCTGCTCCTATCCCCTTTGTTTCCTTTTCAGGGCTGGTAAGTAAATAAAACTGACCTTCAGTATTCCAGAACTTCTCAAACACTTGTTTATCACACATCATGCAGTCAGTTGGGTTAAAATAGTGCTGGAGCCAACACTTCCTTGTGTTTACATGTAAAGAAGTTGGAGGGAATACATACTCTTTCAAAACTGAGGGGGCATTTACTTAGGAACTTTACTTCCAGAACAGTGCATCTAAACAAATTCTTACTGATTCCCGTGCTTGCTTTTCATTTCTGTAAGAAGCATCACTTTTGGTGGTGTGTTTAAGACTGTTGGCTTCTGGAGACAAAGCCAACCAATTCAAAATTGTTCTGGTATTTTATGGTGTATTCCCTCCCTTTCCCACAGTCACTTTGTAACTTTGCTTTGGTAACACCTCACATTGTTCCAGAGCCATGCCCACTGTTTCTTGTGTTGGGAGAAGACCCTCTGAAGACCAGCTTGGTTTCAGTCTGCAATGCTTTTGTGCCAAGGACTTTGCTATGAGCCTGTTCTGCACAGCCTGAGGAGAGACTGACTCTACCTAGCCACATTTTCAAAATTACAACTTTGCTTTTCTTTTACTTCCTTTTGTTAAAATTTTAATTTGGGGAGAGTGCTCATTCTCAAAGGTCACAATAAATGACACTTGTATTACCTGTCTTTGCATCTCCTCAGCTTTAAATTCCCATGGGCAGGAGAGGAAGGTGCCATGACAACCCTGCTGCTCGAGGCAGCTCAGAGCTGTGGTGGGAACCGGCTGATGATTCAAATAGAGGGTGCAGAAGGGTTTGGAGTCTGTTTGACAGCTGTGCTGAGCAGATGTTGCTGCCTTTTCCTTGTGTGAAGGTGGCCAGAGCCTCTGGGTGTGGGTGATATGAAAGGGAAGTTCATTTTAGCACAGAGAGCAGGATGGCTCCCACTGCCTCATCCCTTGTCACCCAGCAGCTATTCCAGCCTGGGGCTGTTCCAGCAGAGTTTAGCAGCCAGGTTGTGTCCCCGCGCTGCAGAAAAGGCAGCAGGGGAGGAGGCTCCCTGTCCTTGCTGTTCCATTCTGCTGGCGGAGCAGGGGAGGGCAGCAGACACCAGGCTGAGGCAAAGGCTGAGCTGTGCTGTCCCTCCCAGGGCAATGAAGTGGCCTGGATGTCCTCTAGTCCCTTATTTAATTTCTCTGTGCTTCCCCTTTTGATACCTTAGAACTCAAATTCCACAGGAGCTTGGATTTTGGTCCTTTTTTTCTCCTTTCTGCTGGCTATTCTGCAAGGAGAGACATTGAGCCACAGCTCAGTTGGAGGTGGCAATGTAGATGATCCTTGGGGTGCCTTCCAGCTCAGATTATTCTGTGCTTGGTGCTGCAGTTACTCCTGTCAGGCTTCAGAAAGCAGTTGTGGCTCTAATGGGACCCCAGCACTGCAAATGTTGTGTCTGCAAGCATTATTGCCTTGTTAACAGAGCCATCTTCTTCCTCAGGTCTGTCCCAGCTCCCCCTCAGCACAGCACCTGAGTATTTCCTCACCTTTGGTCTGGTTCATGCATGAAATTTGGGAAAAGGAATTCTCTCTCCCAGGAAAGCAGTGTGAATCCAGAGGCAGCAGATGCTGTCAGTTTGGGCTGCTCTTGGCCTCAGAGGAGCCAGGCACTACTTTGCTGCCATCTTCCAGCTTGGTCGTGTCTGCCCATGAGGAACAAATGGCACAACTGAATGTGCTTTTTAGTGGAAGTGCCTGTTTATTGCAGTAAAACTAATTTATTTCTCCTTGTTCCTGGTGATAACTTAGCAGAAGAGCTGGAAAGTGGGAATGTGCATGTGCTATTAATCCCTTAAGCTAGATTGGGGATGCCTTGCTGTTAATTAACTCCCCAGTGCATCCTGCTTTCCTGACAGGCACTTGCCTGGCTCTCAGTAACCACTGTGATTAAACCCGAGCTAGACTCTAAGTAATCTGTGGTTCCTCAGCTCTTCCTGAACTGCAGCTTGTTTTTTTCCAGAACCTCCATGGAAGGCGGTGATAGTGGCTGTGCTAGGGGTGAGAAAGCAGGCACAAAAATCCCTGAGCATCCCTGAAGGCAAAGCCACTGCAGAAATTGCAGCTGCAGATGGGCTTGCAGAAAAGCAAGTGGACAACAGGTGGAGCAAGTGCGTTGTGGTGAAGGATGCACGGGAAAATGGGTGGGTTTTACACTCCTGCGTGCACATGGGGACAGTGAGGCGTCATCAGCCTCTCCTGAGAGGCAGCACATTTTATCTCACAGCCAGAAGTGCCCTGTGGTGGGACAAGTGGTGTGAGGGTGAGTTAGTTCTGCTGGGGAATAAACTGCAGTCATCATCTGGGGTGGCTTGTGCAGATCAATCCTGCTTTAGTGTAACATCAGCAGCTTCACCAGAGCACTCAGTGCTGTGTGAGAAAAGGTGCTCAGCAATGGGCAAATGCCAAATCAAAAAGAACAGGAATTGGAGATTGCCTTGGATTTCAGGGATCTGAGTTCAGATACTCTGTAGTACTCTGTACTAATTTTCTCCGAGGGTTCTTGTATTCTTCTCTCTCCCTGTCAGAATTTGTGGAAATTTAGAAGCATTTTGCATGCATGCTGTCAAATTGAGCTTTGAGAAAGACAGTTCAGACCCCCCCTTACACCTTGCCATATCTTGAAATATGTGGACTGATGTGAGTTATCCAAGTAGAGTGAGCCTGTAGGTGTAGCTGATAAAAAAAAAAGACTCCTGCAAAGTAAATTCTCATTCTTGTTCTGCAACCTTCCCAAATACATGAGTGTGAAAAGTGCTCGTTAGTGAAGCAAAACTCATGAGCTTTGTGTTTGCACTTGGTGTATATTTCAACCCATATCTCTAAAGGAATTTTCTGAGTAACAAACACATTTCAGTTTCATGGGATGGTGTGGGAATAGATACGTAATTTTTGTTGGACAACAGCAAAACAGAGTAAACTTTCCCAGACCTCATTTTCTCAGGTGAAAGCTTTAGGAGGCCCTACAGAAATGAAAAGTATTTTGTTTCAATACTGGAAATGTTATATTCTGTGCTTTCCCTTCTGTGTGGTTGGCTTGAGTGTTTTCCAGGGCCAGAATTACCTCCTTTTAACTAGCACTAGTACTTTGTATCCTATTGTCCTCTAGTTCCTTATTTAACTTCTCTGCCTTTCCCTTCTGATACCTTAGAACTCAAATTCCACAGGAGCTTGGATTTTGGTCCTTTTCTCTTAGCTTGGAAAGCATGAGTCAGATTTGGTCAGAATCCACCAGAAATACTGACATCTTTGTTCAGAACAATGAAAAAAAACCCCAAAAAACACTGGGATGTGCCAAATAGGAATTTTCTTTTCCGTAGAAAGCTGCTGTCTGCACAATGAGGAAACAAATTCCAGTTGGCTGATGACTCACGTGGTCCTTCATGTTTGTTTGGGGGCAAGAGTTATCACTTGGCTCTGGGTGATGCTTTTGGCTACTGTGTTTCTCAGATTTGTGTTTTTTCCCTGTTCCCTGATGTGACCCTGCCCTGAACTTCTCCATTCAACCACAAAGCACCTCCAGGTGCTCCCACACACCTCCTTCCATGTCACCTTCCTCCTTGGGGTGTCCTGCCAGCTTCAGGCTGCTTATCTGAGGTGCTGAGATGGGGGGAGACAGGATCAAGTGTGGAGAAGGCTTGAGAGGGAGATACATGTGAAAAAGCCTGAGAACTGCTGTGCTGAGGTATGGATTTCCAGCTGGATCACATTTTGTATTTTACAGTGCTGTCTGCATTCCAACGATGCACGGGGGAAAACGAGGATTTTTATATTTGAGCTGGAAAAAGCCACCCACGTGAGAGAAGCACTGAGTGACCTGTTTTCCTCTGAGCAGTTTTTATCTGCTTGTTCTGTTCTCTCTGTTCCTGCAGTGGAGCTCTCCCCCACCATGATGGTCAGGGGCTCTGTGGTGCTGCATGACAAATGGCTTTGTGCTGCTGTGGCTGGCCAAGGAGCAGTGTGTGCCTCCACCACTGCTGCTGAGATCTGTGCTTGTTCACCACCTCATGGATCAGGTCTTTTGTTAAAGATACCCCTCCAAAAAAAAGCATCATACTCAACAGGCACTGCTTGATGTTAATTCCTTCAGTGTCCAAGGATGGCGTGCCAGGAATGAAGAAGGATTGGTTGAGTTAATGAATGGAAAAATCAATTACAGAAATATTAGGGGTGCTGTATTAGATATGCCTGTGCTCCCCAAAGGATCATCTAAAGGCTGTCAAAACACTGGGAAATCTATTTTCCAGTTTTATGTAGCTTTGACTTGGTTTTCATGGAGATGAGAAAAAAGGCTCCACAAACCCTGGTTATTTGCTCTTGGTTCAGAGGGTGTTTAATAGGTTTGCCTCCCATGTCCCTGGTTTTGAGTGTTAATGCACAATAATTTCCACTGAACTCAGCATCTCTGTAAAAGCAGGTCACTTGAAGAGCTGTCTCAGCTGGATGCAGAGTGTGGATGTGTGATGGTGTCCAGCTCCGACACAGCCCAGGGAAGGAGAAGGAGCCTTTGGCATGCAGGAGCAGCTGCTGGACAAGTGCTCAGCCCTCCTGTGTTCAACGTGTCCACTGGTGACCACAGGATTCCTGACTGGAAACACAATACTGAATTCAGCTCTTTACACTCTCCTTTTGTACTATGGTCTTCCAGGAAATACCTTTTATCTCCACCTATTCATATTTTACCTTATTTTATGTGGAAAATGGTGTTGGTTGTGCAGCTTGCCCCTGCTTCTGATATATTTTGAAGCCCCCTCCATTCCTGGATGTGTCCATTCCAAGTTGCTCCTAATTATCCTAATTAAGCTCTGACTTTGAGCAAAGCAGCTCCCAAGCATAAATCATAGAATCCCAGAATGGTTTGCCTTGGAAGTTTAGGGAAAAAGAAGCTTGAAGCTGCTGTCTTTAAGCTTGCAGCCATTCCCCCTT